GAAAGAGACAGAATGCATGAAGGTAGGGCATGTATGAAATAAAAATTTCATCAAAAAAAGTAAATGAATGTACATTAAAATTTTAAAATATTTTTTTACATTACAAAAAAAAATAATCATTAAACAAACAATAAATCATACATAAAAATAGTTACCAGTATATATGAATTAATAAAAAAATAATAAAAAAATGAAAAAAAAAAAAAAAAAAAAAACAAATAGTTATATATGAATTAAAAAAAAAAAAAAAAAAAAAAAAAAAAAAAAAAAATAAATAATATTAAAAAAACAAAAAAATAAAAAGTCAGGAATTAAAAAAAAAAAAAAATGACTGTCAAAAAACTTTAGGGCCTTTTTCCTGAAAGAGACTGAATGCAAAAGGTAGGGCATGTATGAAATAAAAAAACTTCAAAAAAAAAATTTTAAATTAACGTACATTAAAATTTTAAAAAAATTGTTTAAAATTAAAAAAAAAAAAAATACATCATTAAAAAAAAAAAAAAACCATATGTAAAAAAAAATATATGATAATTAATAAAAAAAAATATAAAAAAAAAAAAAAAAAAATAAAAAATAAAAAACAAAGAATAAAAAAAACAAGTCAAGAATTAATTTGTGCAAACTTTTAAATCTACTGACAGGTCCACTTTAGGGCCTTTTTGCTAAAAGAGACAGAATACAGGAAAAAGGGCATGTATGAAATAAAATAAAAAAAAAAAAAAAAATAAATTAAATACATTAAAATGTAAAAATATTATTTACATTTAAAATTAAAAAAATCAAAAAAAAAATAAAAAAAAAAAAAAAAAAAAAAAAAAAAATATTAATTAGTAAAAAAAAAAAATAAAAAAAAAAAAAAAAAAAAAAAAATAAAAAAAATAAAAACAAAACCTATTAAAATAAACACGAAAAATATTTTTGCTGAAAGAGACAGAATGCAGAAAGGTAGGGCATGTATGAAATAAAATATTTCAACAAAAAAATGTAAATTAACGTACATTAAAATTGAAAAAAATTTTTTACATTTACAAAAGGAATTAAACAATAAATCATAAAATAAAAAAGTTATGAATTAATAAAAACCTTAATAAACAAAAAAAAAAATAAGTAAAAAAAAAAATAGTTATATATTAAAAATAAAAATATTAATAAACACATTAAAATAAAAAATAAAATAAAAAAAAAAAAAAAAATTTCAATTAATAAAAAAATTAATAAAAAAAATTAAAAAATAATAAAAAAAAAATAAACATAAAAAAAAATATACGTATTAATAAAAAAAAAATAAAAAAATTAAAAATAAATATTATTAAAAAAAAAAAAAAATATTTTGACAAAAAAATAATTAATTCACGCAAACCTTTAAATTTACTGACAGGTCCACTTTAGGGCCTTGCTAAAAATAGAGACAGAATACAGGAAGGTAGGGCATGTATGTTATAAAATAAAAAAAAAAAAAAAAAAAAAATAAATAATTAAAATTAAAATAAAATATTTACATTTAAAATGAATACATCATTAAACAAAAAATAAATCATGCATAAAAAACTTAATAAATATATAGTATAAAAAAGTATGATAAAATAAATTAAAATAAAAATAAAAATAGTTATATAAAAAATTAATATAAAAATTAATAAACAAATTAAAATAAATATTAAAATAAACACAAAAAATAAAAATTTTGATATGTCAAGAATTTATTCGGGCAAACTTTTAAAATTATTGACAGGTCCACTTTAGGGCCTTTCAAAAAAAAAGTGTAAATTAAGGTACATTCAAATTAAAAAAAATTTTTTTACATTAAAAATTAAAAAAATCATTAAACAAACAATAAAATAAATAAAAAAAAGTTTTATATTAATAAAAAAAAAAAAAAAAAAAAAAAAAAAAAACAAATAGTTATATATGAATGAATAAAAATAAAAATAAACAAATTAAAATAAATAATATTAAAATAAAAAAAAAAAAATATAATGTGAAAAAATAAAAATATTAATAAACAAATTAAAATAAATAATACAAAAACCTAAAAATAAAATTATATATGAATTAAAAAAAAATAAAACATTAAAATAAAAATAAAATAAACCTAAAAAAAGTTATATATGAAAAAATAAAAAAATTAATAAAAACAAAAAAAAAAAAAAAATTAAAAAAAAAAACATACAAATAAAAATAAAAAAAAATAAAAAAAAAACACAAAAAAAAAAAATAAAAAAAAAAAAAAAAAATTATAAAATGAATAAAAAAATTAAAAAAAAATTAAAAAAAATAATATTACAATAAAAACAAAAAAAAAATTTTGACAAGTCAAGAATTAATTCGTGCAAACTTTTAAAAATTGCTGAAAGGTCCACTTTAGGGTCCTTTTGCTGAAAGAGACAGAATGCAGGAGGTAGGGCATGTATGAAAAAAAAAAATATTTCAACAAAAAAATTAAATTAACGTACATTCAAATTTAAAAATAAAAAAATTACATTGAAAATTAATACATTATTAGACAAACAAATAAATCATACATAAAAAATTGTTATATTAATTCATTTTATAAAAAAATAAAAAAAAAAATTGTTATATATGAATGAATAAAACTATTAATAAACACATTAAAAAAAAGGAGTTTGCATGTTCTCCCTGTGCCTGCGTGGGTTTTCCTCCGGGTACTCCAGTTTCCTCCCACACTCCAAAAAATAATTACACTGACAGTAAATGGGACCTATTTATCAAAGCCTGGAGTAGATAATTTTTTTTTTTTGCTTTTTTTTTATTGGATAATATTTGCCCTTGCTCTTCTTTTATTCCCACCTCCATTCACAAGGTCGGTCTGTAAAAAAAAAGGAAGTCGATAATCGATTTGCCGCATCTTTATAAATAGGCGCGGTGTTCGCTCCTTCAATGGCAGACGCTGGGGGGGCTTTGAATATAAATCCGGAGATTAATTACGGGAGCCGTCCGCGGGTCGTTTGTGCGTCCTCGCCGCCAACACACAGGATGAGCCACAAAATCTGCCAACGCCAGAATTTATAGCGCGGCCCAGAAATGCGCCCCGTCTGAACAGGTGTTCCCGGGTTTACCAAAATCCTCCAGCTGTACATAAAAAGCTCGCTAGCGTGGATTTATTTCGGGAAGAGCGCCGTTAAAAATTGACGGACGGCTTTTTCGAGACAAGGAGAATCTGAATTTTATCACAAAAAAAAATGTACGCGCGGAATAAAATTGCGCTCGGCTCCGGCTTGAACCGCGTTGGCTGTGTCATCGGAAAAAAATTGGATACAGTTCAGGAAAAAAATGGGAAAATGCTTAGTAACTCGAAAAAAATCGCACTTTAGGAAAAAAAAAAAAAAATATTCAAAAAAAATCTCCCAGCTTTTACTGAGCAGCTGTCAAAATGAAAAAAAAAAAAAAAAAAAAAAAAAAAAAAAAAAAAAAAAAAAAAAAAAAAAACACCGCCGCCGTCTGGAATTTTATAAAATTATAACGGGTAGACGTATAAACCGTAACGGTGTGCAGAAAAAAAAAAAAAAAAATTCTCCGTCACGCGATACGAAAAATGCTGAACGAGGCGAAAAAAAAAAAAAAATATTCTACAGAGCGTCTGAGGACAGATATAAAAAAAAAAAAAAGGGTGCAAACTGACCGCAAAAAAAAAAGCGAGACGCCTGCAGAATGCCGACCAACCGCTTCACGGAAAAAAAATCTGTGACCTGGCTCATCGGAGCAATGCGCGGAATTAAAAATCAATGAAAAAAAAAAAAAAAAAATCACATGACGCATAAAAAAAGAATAAAGATACCCCTCAAATACATAAAAAAAAAGTCAAAAAATTAGATAATCTGCTTCCCCATAAATACAAAAAAAAAAAAAAAAAAAAATATTTATGCTGTGTGTGTATTTTTTATTAAATATAAGTAAAAAAAAAAAATATTTTTTTCCCCATATATATAAAAACACACACAAAAAAAAAAATAAAAAAAAAATAAATAAATAAATAATATATATATATTATAAAAAAATTATTTAAAATGTGTATGTATGTATAATAAAATAAAATATAAATATATATAAATATATAATAAAAAAAAAAAAAAAAAAAAAAAAAAAATATTTTAAAAAAAAAAAAAAATAAAAAAAAAAAAAAAAATATATAAAATATAAATATAAAAAAAACACACAGTAAATATAAACAAAAAAAAAAAAAAAAAAAATAAATAAATAAATAAATATAAAATATAAAATAAAAAAAATATATAATAATATTATAAAAAAAATACTGTGTAAAAAAAAATAAAAAAAAAAAATTAAATTAAATTAAATAAATATATATATATATATATAAACACACACACAGTAAATATACACACACAAAAAAAAAAATAATAATATATATATTTTACAGTGTGTGTATATTTTACTGCACGTGTGTATGTATATATATATATATATATATATATAAATATATATATATATATTTATTTAATTTAATTTAATTTTTTTCCCCATATAAATACACAAAAAAATTATTATATATATATATATACATTTTTTTTTTTTTTTTTTTATACTGTGTGTGTTATATTTACTGTGTGTGTGTGTGTGTGTGTGTGTGTGTGTGTGTGTGTGTGTGTGTGTGTGTGTGTGTGTGTGTGTGGGGGGGGGGGGGGGGGGGTGTCTGCACAAGTCTTGACCATTGGAGAACAGGCAGCCTGTACTCCCAGCACAGCCAGAAAACTGACCACGCTGGGACGGATGAGTTTCTATGCCTAGTGTGGTCAGTTTTTAATAGGAAGGCAGAGGGACTGGCAGGAACACCAGGGATTTCACACAAATACAAAGAGAACAGGAGACTTCATACAAGTACATGGCACAGCCGCACAGATCAGGAATAGGAAATGTCGGGTTTACATAAGGAAACCTTCCCATGATGCTTTGCATTGCGTTTGTTGATTTTGCGTTTTATTTCCTTTTTTGTGTATTCTTTGCATTATTATACTGTATGTATTAATCTCTTCCCGTCCGGCTCATTGCCGATAAACGGCCGGACGGGAGCGCTGCCGATGCGGGTGGACGTTTCTAAAACATCCCCCCCACATCCACTGCCTATGCGTTCTCCCTGGGAGTGCGCGGCACCGCGATCGATGGCCGCTGTATCCTCTGGAACACCGATCGCTGTACAGGAACTCTCTGCGAGGTCCCGATTCGTGTGATCGCTGATTGGCCAAGTAAACATTGTGTACTACTTGTGAAATCTGTGAATGATCACAGAGGTCACATGGTACAGGGCTATTCACAACAGACTTGTACCATGTGACAAGCTGTGACCAATCACAGCTCTCACAGTATTTCTCAATGGCTGCAGGAATGCAGCCAGAGAAGACAAATGATTGCTGTCACAGCCTTTATGGGTGTGCACTCAGTGTTAAAAAAGAAAAAAAAAAAAAAATTCATCACCCCCTAGTACTGATAGCACTGTGTTGCTAGGGTGACAGTATGTAAAAAAAAAAAAAAACATAAAAAAATAATATAAAAAAAAAAAAATTTAAAATTTAAAATAATTATAATTTTTAGTTATAAACTAATTTTTTTTTTTTTTTTTTTTTTTTTAAATAACGGAATACATTTTGGGCAAGAGTTATGAAGAAAGATTATTTATTTGCAAAATTTTATAAGAAAAACACTATTTTTTTCAACATTTTTGGTCTTTTTCATTCCTATAAAAAAACAAAAACCCAGTGCTGAATAAATACCACCAAAATAAAGTTTTATCTGTCTCAAAAAAATGCTACACAATTCATATGGGTACAGTGTTGCATGACCGCACAATTGTCATTCAAAGTGTGATAGTGCTGAAAGCTGAAAATTGGCCTGGACAGGAAGGGGTATAAGTGCCCGGTAGGCGAGGGGTTCAATTAGTGTAGTGTGATTTAGGTAGGATAAAAAAAAATAAAAAATATTGGTTCTGGGTCGTACCACAAGTTAATGTAAAAATATAAATGCACTTTCACCCCTTCCAGTCCAGGCCAATGTTCAGCTTTCAGCGCTATCACACTTTGAATGACAATTGTGCGGTCATGCAACACTGTACCCATATGAATTTTTTTGCATTTTTTTTGAGACAGATAAAACTTTATTTTGGTGGTATTTATTCACCGCTGGGATTTTTATTTTATTTTTTTGCTATGTAAATGAAAAAAGTCCAAAAATTTGGAAAAAATGTTGTTTTTCTTATAAAATGTTGCAAATAAACAGTATTTCCTCATAAATCTTGGCCAAAATTTTTTCCGTTATCTTTTTAGTAAAAAAAAAAATAACCCAAATTAGTCTATAACCAACAATTATAATTTTTAAACTTTTTTTTTACATTTTTATTTTATTTTTTATATTATTTATTTTTTTTACATACTGTCACCCTAGCAGTAGTATCACCGTGGTGTCACTGCACTACTTGTGGGGGGTGATGAAGATTTTTTTTTTTTTTTCACTGATTGCTTTTACACCCATAAAAGCTGTAAAAGCAATCATTTCTCCTTCTCTCTGGCTGCATTCTTGCAGCCATTGAGAACTACTGTGAGAGCTGTGATTGGTCACAGCTTGTCACATGGTACAAGGCTGTTGTGAATAGCCCTGTACCATGTGACCTCTGTGATCATTCACAGATTTCACACATAGTAAGCAATGATGTCAGAAGTGACATCTTGCTTACTACTCTGCATGTGATCACTGATTGGCCAATCAGTGATTACATGATCGGGACCTCGCACAGAGGTCCCGTACGACGATTGGTGTTCCACTGTGTCCGGAGGACACAGTGGGCACCGGATCGCGGTGCTGCGCGCTCCCAGGGAGCGTGCACAAGCAGGGGGCGGGGAGGCCGTTTATAAACAGCCACCCGCCCCTGCACTGCCACCGTCCGGCCATTTATATACATGGGCTGGACGGGAGGTGGTTAATGTGGGCCCTACTCATAGGAGCTTACAGTCTAATAGGGTGGGTATGCACATGTAAGTCTCTTCTGGGTTCAGGGCATGCATGCGCAGGACCGCGCAATAGCCAGTTAAAGTAGAGCAGCGCTGAATAGCAAAAAAAATGCCTTGGTCACGAAGAGGGTAAAACGAAGGTCAAGTGGTTAATATAAAAATGAAAGATGGTAATAGAGACATAAAGGAATTAAAAAAATAATCAATTTAACAGAATGCAAGTTATATTTGTGTTTGTTTTGTTGCTATTTTTAAATATATTTTGTGGAAAAAAAAAAATGTTGGTATATTTTTGGAGAGCGTCCAGTTTGATTCTTGTTTTTCTAGGTTATGATTGTGCAACGTGTCTTTGATTTCAGCATTCTGATCATTAATAGAACTAGGGAAGTATATATTTTCCAGCAGTGCAGCCAAGCCAGACCTTCACGCTTTTATTTTGTTTTTAGAATATTGTTGTCTTCTATCTTTATTGCAAAAAAAAAAAATGTAAGTAATTTTTTTCCCCTTCAAGTTCAGGTTCATCCTCGCCTATAAGAGGATGGCGTACCTGGACCCAGCAAGTGCGCAGGAACACTGCGGGTCAATGCAGCAAAATGGAAAAAAAAAAGTCACCAAAAATTTTTCTCCAAAATTTTGGTAAAGGTCAAAGTCACAAAGATCTACCCTCCCCCACTGTTCTCTGCCACCACTTGTAATACATGATGTTACCATAGAACCAGAGCCAGATCTAGCCTGTCTGATGTGGGTGCAGTAAAAAATGTCGGGGTGGATGGGTGACAGAGAATGCAAGGTCAGCAGGGCAGTGTGCAGGGGGTCAGCAGGGCAGGGCAGTGTGGAGGGGGTCAGCAGGGCAGTGTGGAGGGGGTTAGCAGGGCAGTGTGGAGGGGGTCAGCAGGGCAGTGTGGAGGGGGTCAGCAGGGCAGTGTGGAGGGGGGGTCAGCAGGGCAGTGTGGAGGGGGTCAGCAGGGCAGTGTGGAAGGGGTTAGCAGGGCAGTGTGGAGGGGGTCAGCAGGGCAGTGTGGAGGGGGTTAGCAGTGCAAAGGATGGGAAGTCAGCAGGGGAGTGTACAGTAATCAGTAAAGTAGTGTACTGGGGGGGGGGGGTCAGTAGGGCAGAGCACAGGGTTCAGCAGAGCTGAGGATAGGGGACAATTGAGTTAAGGACAGGGGTCAGCAGGGCAGAGGACAGGCTGGCAGGAGAGAAGATAGGGGCAACTGGTGACAAAAGAGAAGACAGGGGTCTCTGGTGGCTGAAGAGAGGTCAGGGGGTCACCGCTGGCAGGAGGGAGGACAGGGGGCACTGCTGGCAGGGCACAGGGCACATTATCTGACCATAGAACCAGGGCTTGATCTAGCCTGTCTGATGTGGTGGTGCAGTAAAAAATGTCAGGGGGCAGAGGATGGGAGGTCAGCTGGGCAGTGTACAGGGGTTCAGCAGGGCAAAGGAAAGGTGTCAGCAGGGCAAGGGATGGGAGGTCAGCAGGGGAGTGTACAGGAATCAGTAAGGCAGTGTACCAGGGGTCAGTAGGGCAAAGGACAGGGGTCCGCAGGGAGGAGGACAGGAGTCAGCAGAGCCAAGAATAGGGGTCAATTGAGCCAAGGACAGGGGTCAGCAGGGCAGAAGACAGGGATCACCACTGACAGGAGAGAGGACAGGGGTCAATATTGGCAGGCGGGACGACAGGGGTCACCGCTGGCAGGAGAGAGGACAGGGGTCACTGCTGGCAGGAGAGAGGACAGGGGTCACCTCTGGCAGGAGAGAGGACAGGGGTCACCTCTGGCAGGAGAGAGGACAGGGGTCACCGCTGGCAGGAGTGAGGCAGGGGCAACGCTCGCAGGTGAGAGAACAGGGGTCGCTGCTTGCAGGAGAGATGACTGGGGTCACTCCTGGCAGGAGGGAGTCAGGGGTCAACGCTCGCAGGTGAGAGAACAGGGGTCGCTGCTTGCAGGAGAGATGACTGGGGTCACTCCTGGCAGGAGGGAGTCAGGGGTCACCGCTCGCAGGTGAGAGAACAGGGGTCGCCGCTTGCAGGGCACTACACAGAGCTCTTTCTTTCACCCCGGCACAGTACGCAGACTGAGCACAGGAACAGTGTAGACTGAGCACAGCAAGACCTCCTCCTCCCTCCACACAGCACACTGTTGCTGAAATCTGAATCCCGTGTACATAGCTGTGATCTGCACAGGGTGTAGCTGGCTACTATGTTGCAGGTCTGACCTGTGAAATTCCCTGGTCAGAACGGCAGCTCAGCTGCAGTAACCAGCTACACACTGAGCAGCTCACAGCTGTGTGTAAGGGATTTGGACTTCAGCCACAGTGTGTGCTGTGTGGAGGGAGGAGGAGGTCTTAAAGCCTGTGCTCAGGGGTGGGAGACAGTCAGCACAACATCAGGGGTAGCGGGGGGCTTTGTGGAGGGGTTCAGCTAAAACTGCAGAACCCCCCTACATCCATACCACACATAGAAGTATGTAGGGCAGGGGGGTTAACGTACTAGACATCCTTAGGAGGGCGTACATTATGTTCTGTATACTATGGAATACTGTCAAGGAGTATAGATGAACTTCAAGAGCTGATCAGAGACTGCAGACATTCTACAGGAGATGATCAGAGACTGCAGACATTCTACAGGAGATGATCAGAGACTGCAGACATTCTACAGGAGATGATCAGAGACTGCAGACATTCTACAGGAGATGATCAGTGACTTGAGACATCCTACAGAGATGATCAGTGACTTGAGACATCCTACAGGAGATGATCAGGACGTGAGACATCCTGCAGGAGATGATCAGTGACATGAGACATCCTACAGGAGATGATCAGTGACTTGAGACATCCTAAAGGAGATGATCAGTGACATGAGACATTCTACAGGAGATGATCAGTGACATGAGACATTCTACAGGAGATGATCAGTGACATGAGACATTCTACAGGAGATGATCAGTGACATGAGACATCCTATAGGAGATGATCAGTGACTTGAGACATCCTAAATGAGATGATAAGTGACATGAGACATCCTGCAGGAGATGATCAGTGACTTGAGACATCCTAAAGGAGATGATCAGTGACATGAGACATTCTACAGGAGATGATCAGTGACATGAGACATCCTACAGGAGATGATCAGTGACTTGAGACATCTGCAGGAGATGATCAGTGACTTGAGACATCCTGCAGGAGATGATCAGTGACTTAAGCAGGGGTGGACTGACAACTCATGGGGCCTCCGGGCAATAGGGGATCATGGGGACCCTGTGTCCTTGCCAAAACTCAAAAAAGCCTGAAAAAGGTACCAGGGGCATCTCATGGGACCCCCTAATGACCCCGGGCCCTCAGGCAGTGCCCGAGTTTCCAAATGGTTAGTCTGCCCCTGGACTTAAGACATCCTACAGGAGTATAGATGAACTTCAAGAGCTGATCAGAGACTGCAGACATTCTACAGGAGATAATCGGTGACATGAGACATCCTGCAGGATGATCAGATGCAGGAGATGATCAGTGACTTGAGACATCCTACAGGAGATGATCAGAGTGACTTGAGACATCCTACAGGAGATAATCAGTGACTTGAGACATTCTACAGGAGATGATCAGTGATCCTACAGGAGATGATCAGAGACTGCAGACATTCTACAGGAGCTGATCAGAGACTTGATACATTCATTCTACAGGAGATGATCAGTGACTTGAGACATCCTACAGGAGATGGTCAGAGACTTGAGACATTCTACAGGAGATGGTCAGAGACTTGAGACATCCTACAGGAGATGGTCAGAGAGAGTTACTGTGATGGAACGCCTGTCACCCCGATTGGGTGATTCCGTAGGAGAACTGCACATGGGACACAGGACCAGGTATTATAGCTGGGCCCCAGCATCAGGTTGTTTTGAGCTGATTATATCAACATCTGCTTAGAGTCTCTGACTCTAGCAAGGGGGGGGGGGGAGTTGAAGCAGTCAATGCTGGTTTGGGCACAGGGACCCCAAATCTGTATCCGGGTCCTCCAGTTCTCCGAGTCTGTGTGTTTTGGGGAGACTTGAGTCCGAAGTAAAGCACTTCAAAGCCCCCCCCCCAGGCACACACCTCACAAACAATAGAGCCCCCTGAGATGCCAGGGCTGTGGTCAGTAGGCCTGAGGCTAGCCTGCAGTCCCCTGCAAAAGTCCCTGTCCCAGTTGGGACTGTCACAGGTACATTCAATAATAAATGGTCAGATACTGGGTCTCTACTTTAAGTGATGGTCAGAGACAATGGAGATATCACAAGTGATGGTCAGAGACTGTGGACATAGTACAGGAGGTGGCCATAGACTGCAGACACAGTACAGGAGATGACCAGAAACTGAGGACATCGTACAGGAGATGACCAGAGACTGCAGACATAGTACAGGAGATGAACAGAAACTGAGGACATCGTACAGGAGATGACCAGAGACTGCGGACATAGTACAGGAGATGACCAGAGACTGCGGACACAGTGCAGGGAATGACCAGAGACTGCGGACACAGTACAGGAGATGACCAGAGACTGCGGACACAGTACAGGAGATGACCAGAGACTGCGGACACAGTACAGGAGATGACCAGAGACTGCGGACACAGTACAGGAGATGACCAGAGACTGCGGAC